GGAAAGGGAGTGAACCATGTAGATGGAGATCTGGTGGAAGAGGGCTCTGGGAAGAGGGTGTGGCCAAGGCCAACCTCAAGGGCTGGAAAGTGAGGCTGGAGAGGTGCCACAGAGGGGAAGTCATCAGGAAGTACAGCCAAGGAACTGAAGAAGGCAAGTCATGGAGGGCTTCACAGGCTGTCATAGGGACTTGCAATTTCTGGGTGTGAAATACGGAGCCACTGCAGGCTCTGAGCTTAGGCTGATAGCCTCTGACTTATAGAACTAAGAGAGAGTCAAATGCAATCCAGAGGCTTTAATTTAAAAGAAACATACTGAGTCAATTTAAAGAATTTAAGACCCCATGAATTAGGTTACAAGTTGTTTTGAAGCAGTAGTAGGACCCATGCCCTTGTTTCAGCCACTGATCCTTCATTTAGATTTCTGTGCAGGTATCACTTCCTCCAGAGTTTCTCCATGATTGTATGTATCTAAAATCATTGCTCTTCCTGACTTAATCTCTTTACTCTGCTTTGTTTTCCTACATAGTGTTTATCACTCCTTGACCATATATCTGTGCTTTTTAATTATTTCCTATTTCCTGTAGTAGAATGTAGACTCTGAGAAGGTGAAGATTTTGCTCTTTTGGTTATGACTGTAACTCAGCATCTAGAAGAGCACCTGTCACAGAGGGTACCAATTTGTTGAATGAACGAATGAATGTCTCAAGAGTCTAGGAGAACTCCTGAGTTTTAGTTCTCAAACAAATAGGCCATAGTATTGGTGCAATAACTGTCTATCAAAATACAAATAAACTGTCTATCAAATTATAGATTATTTCCCACCATTATTTGGTTTAACATTTTTATTATTTAGAGTGATGATGGTTAATCATAATGTATACATTATGTTATTAATCAAACTGCTATATCTGTATTGTGGAAAATTTAGAAAATGAGAGAAAAAGAATTTATAATTTTATGTCCCCACTATATTATGATCAACATAATTTTAAAATTTCTTCTTTTGTAGTTTTCAAAGTTGGCTACATTCTTACATGGCTTCAGTATACCCAGAGTTAAAATAATTTTCTCTGATTTTTAAACTTTTACATAAATCTCCTTTGTACTCTAAACTTATGTGATTTTATATGGAAACCAATAAAAAAAATAAGCCACTGAGCAGCTTATGTTCTCCACTTCTAACATATTCCATTAAATGAAGGATTCCTGTTATAGTTCTTATAGACATTTGAGATAATTTTTCCTCTACAACCCAAGCTCTCATTTTGCCTGATTTGAATTTATCGACCAGTTGGTGATATTAACCTGCAAAGAAATATACCAAGAATATTGAGGAGCCCTAATTCCTCAATAATTCTGATTTCACCCTGCTGCCCCAAAAGTTACAAATTTCAAATCGCTACAGTTTATTTTTATACTTTTTATGAATGAATGGTGGTGTTATTAAGCAAAATCAATAACGTAAAAAAAAAATTGAAGAGAAAGCTTTTTTTTTTACCAAAGATAAACAGCTTTTCGCCACATTAACAATATCGTGCACAAAACAGTATCACTACAGTGTAAACAGAGGTCAGTTCTCTCAGGCTGCACTTGAGCAGATGGGCAGATGCAATAATTACAAATCAATGGGAAACTGTCAGAGACCACATATCTCTGGTGGAAACTATTTTACTGCCAGGTGACCAGAGTCATGTGTGCTGACATAGGAGGTGGAACAATATAAGGAATTACCAGCCAGGCAATATAGAAATGATTGCTCCAAATCTATGAAATTTATCTTTGGAGTGAACGACTTGAAAAACAATTAAAGCCTCTTTGCTACTCGCTGTTCACTCAGGTTGTGGCAATATAATTTGTTTTACCCACCAGAATCTCAGATACAAAGAGGTGAATGATGTCATAGAAAGGGAAGAATGGATGACAAGGAAACAATCCATTTGGAGGCTAAGAGGAGGCAGGGTGGAGGTATGAGAAAGAAATTAAATCAGGCCTCAGGGGGCTGGCTTCTCCTTGGCCACCCATAATGGTAAGGCTATTTTGAGGGGGTTATAGATCTTTGAAACTCAGAGAAAAGGGGACAGTGATGTCCTTTCCTAACTCCTGGGCCTGCTGACCTAGGGTAAGGCATGTAAAGGGTTTCAAAAAATATAAAGGATGATGATGATGTAACTACTCCTGATACTGTTATAATAACAATTTCTGGAGAATTTATGAGACGATAGCCACTATTCTAACTTTACATGGTGTTAGGGACTGAATTACGTCACACTCCACCCAAATTCATATGTTGAAGCTCAAACCCCCAATGTGACTGTACGTGGAGAAAAGGCCTTTAAGGAGGTAATTAAGGTTAAGTGAAGTCATAAGGATGGGGCTCTAATCCAATAGAACGGGTGTCCCCATAAGAAGAGGAAGAGACGGCAGGAGTGTGTGCACACAGAGAAAAGGCCAGACGAGGACATAGCAAAAAGGCAGCCATCTGTAAACCAAGGAGCAAGGCCTCATCAGGAGCCAATTCTGCTAGCAGTTTGATCATGACCTTCCAGCCTCTAGATCTATGAGGAAATAAATTTCTGTTTTTCAAGTCACCTGGTTGGCAGTATTTTGTTATGGCAGGTGTAGCAGACTAAGATACATGTGTCATGTCAAGTAATCCTCATCACAAAATATTTTCACACTTTCAAATAAAGAAATAGAAGCACAGAGAAATTAAAGCAATTTGATTAAAGTTACACAGCTAGTCAGTAGTGAAATTGAATCCGAGCAATTTGAATCCAGGGCCCAAGTTTCTAGCTGCTCACGTAGTGTAATATAAGGTAACGTGATTAATATCCACAATGATACAACATAAATGCTTTTATCAGAAAAACCAGATTTTTACATGTACTCTGTGAAACGGACTTCAAATTTTAGTCCCTTTCTTCTCCTCCCTCCATCATCTAGACAATAAATATTTTTGTGACCCTTATCTAGTTGAAGCATTGATTGAGGCTTGCGGGATCTGGCAGCAAGCCAAGCCTATGAGAACCAGACAGAAAGAGCAGACAGTGATAAGTGCAAAGGAAAAAATGAAACAGGAAGTTGTGATGATAGGTGGGGGTGAGACTGGTCCTTTCCTCCACAACCAGCTCTTGAGTGTCTACTATGAAACAAATGTGAACGGGACACAGTCCTCGCTCTCTGTGAACTGCTACTGCTGGCGTGGTGCTAGCAGGCCCCAGCCTCCAGGCTCCCCATTTCTTTCTCTATAAAATGAGGTCTTTGTTCTAATAATCTATGACTTCTTTGAGTAAGTCAGGGTGTTACTTAGGCAATGGCTACCTTAACCCAGGTATTAGGTGTAAAGGAAATAATAAATGCTACAGAAAAATATATTCTCTACTTTAGAATATTCCTAAAGTTTTACAGTGAGAGATATAAAGGAAGAAAGGAGGGAGGGGAAGGGATCTTTTAACTGATCTGAACAGACTTTATCTGTGATAGTAATTTTATTTTCACATTTGGATGATTATTATGTAATATTATACCTGTAGTCAGATACCTCCCATCTCTACTGGGGAGTAAATACGAACAAAGGAGCCTGAGATGAAGCATGAAGATTTAAGGTTGATATAAGGGAAGATCTGAGGGGTTGTGCAGAAAGCAAGACATTGGAGAAAAGTGACAAAATTACGGGTCGTATTTCCCTGGAAAGTTTAATCAGCCAGAGAAGTTGTACTCTGGTATGGCCTTACTCAGAAATAGAAGGATAAACTGGCTCACTATAGGGATTTCTTGGCCCCAGGAGTCTCTGATAATTATAGAAGGTAGTTTGAAATAGTAAAACTTCACACCCTGCCCTCCACTTAGGGCAGGGCAAGAGTAGTGCCACTTCCTACTTGTCTCATTTCAGGGTGGCAATTTGTGCTAAGAGGAAATACCTGAAAAGTGTCACTGGGAAGCTCCATAACAGAATGGATGAGTGAAATGCAACAAAAGAATAAGGACCAACTCACTGAAAACAGTGGAATCAGAGAGCACCACAGATAGAAACACAACCTGCCTTTTTGTGTTAGAACACAAACTAGGCATGCAGAAGACCTACAAAAATATAGTAAACTGATTGTATTGTCAGAATTACAGGAGCACTCTGATTACCAGGATGGATCTTTAAAGAAGAATATGTGATATAATAATCTGGCCCACTAAATAACACCAGCCCCAAACAACAAGAAGACTTGAAACAGACAATTACTATTTATGGCTATAACAAGATTGGGATCAACAGCCTGTCATTTCATTTAAAGCCTTAAGTGAAGTGTGGCCCTGAGAGAGAAGAAAGCAAGCATAATTTAAAATAGCAAAGCTCTTAGAAAAAAATGAGTGAAGAATATTTAATATACTGCGTAAACCACTACATACATTTAACTTGAAGGCAGTAATTCTATAAGCCAAAGACACACGATATTCATTGGCAAATACCTGTGGACACATTCATACAGCATTTGAATCACCGTAATTATTAGCATTTGAAATACCTTATGTGGACAGTTATTTTTTTATAATTGTATCTACTTTGATTTCTTCCACTATGGGGAGATGAGCTCCTGAAAATAATTTGTTGGGGGAAATTCTAGATGCTTGTGGATTTTTAACATGTCTTGGGAACCCCAGTGCCTGAAAGAGCCTGAGCAATTAAATTCACCCCAGCTGTGTGTATTTGAACACCAATAGGCTCACAACCAGTACCTACATCATTCCTGGAGCCATATCATTTTCCTTAGCATCCTGTGGTTTGATTTCAATGCTGAGAACAAGGCAGCTTTTTTCCTCCCCTAAAATAATACTGATAGCTTTAGTGCTGTCTTTACATTTTCTTTTCTCTCCAGAGTTGTCTAGAGTTTTAAAGGTTCAAATCCTGATAAAGTGATGCAGAAAACTATATCCGACTCTAAGAAATATGCACACAGATTTCATGCAGAGCTTTCTGGCCCATGAAGAGTAGACCAGTCCCCTTACCTTTATCATAAATTTCCTTCAAGACTCCTCGTTTTATCAGCTCCTCTCTGCTTTGCCTCATCGATATTTTCCTTTCCAGGGCTACAAGCAAAACACAAACAGAGAAGCAGTTGTGAGTAAGTAACAAAGATGTTTCTTTTAATCATATTTTAATATACTGAAATGTAATTAATATATGGGAAAGCTTCCATAAATTCTACTTTACTAATGTAAGTTAATGATACCAGTTAATATTGTTTGATACTATAAACATTTTAATTGGATATTTCATTTAAACTTAAAAACAATCTTCAAATCACCTATGAGGTAGGCATTATTATTTCATTTTATTTAACCTTGGTTTATAGTTGAGGAAACTGTAGCAGAGAGAAGCTCAACAACTTGTCAGAGTCACAAGGTTATTGAGAAGAGGAACCAGGATTCAAAGCGAGAAACACTACCTCCCATCTCAGTTTAACCTCTACATTACAGGGCGTTTTCCTGAGTGTGGTGTTTTCTCATAGATGAGATTTCCTTTTTAAAGATCTAGTTCATGTAAATCATGTCTCACTGAGGATGCTTTTGCTCCCCAACCATTAAAAAATGGTATGAAAATATCTCCTAAAGAGATCTCTGGATGGAGAGACTGAGGAGTGGTGGGAGATCCTTAGGGGACACCCACCACTGCTCTCCTCTCTTCACTCCAAGAGAGAAATGGAGCATCAGTTACCAAATGCATCTTCACCAGGACCCACTACTCACCTGAGCCAATGGCCCCAGCAGGTGGGGGCTGGAAGAGGGAAGAGGGAATGTTTCCCCTCAGGTCAGTGGACATGATGGAAATAGAGTAGAGCAGTGAGGGGCAGAACAAAAGGGCAGGCCTGTGGCTCAAGGTAGGGTGGGAGAAGTGAGCAGAGCCCATGGAAGGAAGCAAGCTATTCTAGCAGCTGACACTGCAGTTTCTGGGTAAATATTGAATGGAGGAGGAGAGAGGTTATTTTGGTTGCTTTTGTCAGCTTAAGAATCTCCACATCCTTTCAATACACAGTTATTCAGGGAGAAAAAAAGCCAGTTATAAAATAAGGATTTTATGTAGACAAATTCAGATACAGATTAATCTCTCTCTCTCTCTCTCTCTCTCTCTCTCTCTCTCTCTCTCTCTCACACACACACACACACACACACACACACACAGAATAACCCAGGATAATTTAGTTCAAAGAAGACCAATAAGACTAGAAAACAAGCGAGGAAACAGGGATTGTGATTCTAACTTGGTTATCCACTAGCTGTGTTACCTTAGTCGAGTCACTTTGCCAGTCTGAGAAAACACTCAGCCTCAGCTATTCTGATTTAATAGGTCCAGGGTGCGACCTGGACATCTATACTGTAATAAAAAGCTCTCTGGGTTATTGTCATATTAAGACTGGAAATCACTGATCATATGTTATGGGACTTAATATTTTAAAAATGGTATACTCTAATTCTTTCTCTTAAATTATAATGAAAGTGGTACGAGACAGAAGGGAGGGGTTGGGGGGCTGGTAGAATGGGGTGAAGGGTTAAAGAAGTACAAATTAGTAGTTGCTAGCTGGTCATGGGTATGGGGAGCATGGCAGAGGGAATGCAGTTAGTATTAATACTTAAGTCAGAGTCAGGGGAGGGAGGGAGCAATTGGGGGGATCATTTTATGAACTTTATAGATGTTTAACCAATGTACTATATACTTGAAACTAATTTAAATAAATTAATTTAAAAAATAAAAAAATGAAAGTAAAAAAAGAGACAGAAAAAATAAATGTTAGGTTAAATTGTACTCGCATATAGCTTACTGAAAACATGTTAATAATAAAACAGGTACATATAAATATATACCAACAGAGGTGAGGGCAGGAGGGTTACATGGAAGGACAAGCATTAACGGTGGGCGTAGGGACCTCTGGAGCAGTGCTGGTTTTGGAGGGGTGAAGGAGTTTTATGACCTATACTAAATGACATGATACAGTGGCAGGAGGGCAGAAAGATGTTTTCTGTGCAGAAGAGGAGCTCCCAGAGAAGGAAAATGGAACTGCAGACAGGTTAGAAAGTTTGGCCTGATTTTAAAAAAGATTTGCTTAGAAGTACAGTGGGAAAAGACTGGATATGCAATGAGAAGCAGGGGTTTTTAAGCAAGGAGTTTGTTAACATCTTTGGGGTGACATGAAGTCACCTGAAAAGCATGCATAAAGAGGTGACGAAGATGGAGACAAAGGATGCATTCAAGACACATGAAGGTGGCAATGTTGCTACAACAACTTGCAGTTAAGGATTGGACGTAGGATGTGAAGAAAAGAGAGGGATCAAGGATGACTCCTTTGGTTCCGGACTTTCACAGATGAATGGGTGGCATTGTCAGTTACTAAGGTAGGACACACAAGATGAGAATCGGGTTTGCAGGAATCATGGAGAACTCAATGTTAGTCATGCCTAAGAGGAGACATTAGGTATGAGCTAGGGAAATGTAGTCAGATATTTCATAAAACAAGGATTGGAAGTTAAATGAGATTGTGCTAGACTCATGGACCAGTGCTTCTCCACTTTTCCATAGAACTTTGTCTAGTGGCAAAAGAATAATGCCAGAGGCAGCAAGAGTAAGATGGAAGTTGGCTGTCCCACGCACACGATTTCTTTAATGTATTGAGGATTTTTCCTTAATAACTAAGGTGGACCTCACATAATATATATGCTCTTATTTAAATAAGAAAATATCTCCCCACCCAGAACTACCAGTTTCCAAGTTTAATTGACTTTCTGGGAAGAGATTGCAAATTTATTCTTTGGCTTTGCCCATTTCCTAGTACAGAGCCCTATGCCCACAGGGGATGCAGAGATCATTTTGAGAAGGGTGGAATGTCATGTAATCTAACTTAATCCTCACCTTAATCCTTAATACTTCACAATCATGTGACGTATTCTCACCCTCATTTTACAGATGGGGTACCTGAGGCGCAGCAACACTAACCTGCTCAGTCACAGCAGTAAGTGAAAGAGCAGAAAGAGATTTTCATGTCTGTTTCTCCCACCATGATACCACATTGTTGTGAAGATCGTAAAATAACATAGCTATGCTTTACTTTAGGGGCTTCTTCCTTCTAAGGCACTCTTTATTGACTATCTCTTTTGACAAGATATGCATGACGCCTCTCGAGAAATCTTATTTTTAGTAGCCCTTCCAAAGTTAGAGCTAAGTTTAACTGGGGCCAAAGACAAGCTCACCACTGCTCCAGGAAGTGAAATAAAGTTAGCTGTTTGGTGCAGAAGGACAGCTCAAATCTTTTGACCTGGTCTACTACTGAGCCATAAAACATAGGGGGAAGAGGATTTACTGTGGGGAAAAGAAAATATGGTGATTTCCTTTTCATTGACCAAAACTAAGTCCAACTCTCTCCACCAATTTTGGTTTTAGTTGAAAAATATGAAAAAAGATAAAAAAAGAGAATAAATTACAAAAAGTTAAAGAAGTCAGAAGCGAATAATTGCATTGGGGAAGAGAGAAGGTGTAATGGGTAGTGCACCTGCTCAAAGATAGCAGGAATCCATCAGATTGAATTTATTTATCAGACTAAATGAGAACTGAGCACGATGGTGAGCCAGTTAACTGGGGAATGTTTGGTCTTTGGGAGGTGGACTATGGTAATGAATAGAACAAAAACATCCATCTCTTTAAGAAGAGAAAACTGAGAAACTATTTTGTTAGACATGTGGCAAAAAAGCATGCAAGTGGGTACTATTTTCATATAAAATGAAAATTAAGTCAATAAAGACTTATTTTAAAATAAAATCTATTATAAAGTATAAGGATTCCTTTCTCTAGTGTTTTCAGTTACTAAAGCATAGGGCAGTACAAATGCTGAGTGACCACATGTGGGAATGTTCTGGTGTAAACTTTTTGGTTATGAAACTGGATTGTGGTGATCGTTGTGCAACTCTTTAAATTTACTGAAAATTACTATTGAATTGTATAATTACAATAGGTTAATTTTATGGCAGGCAAATTATACCTCAATAAAGCTGTTAAGATATGAAGAAAAAAATAGTGACCACAAAGAGAAATTCCCAAAATGTCAAAAACCTCAGTTAAAATTAGTAAATCTAAGCAAGTAATTAAATCAATAAACTTTAGGCCACAGTAAGCAAGAGAACAACATGAAAATAAAATGATTAGAAATATAGCATATAATGGTAAATTTCTAAAACCAAATTTTTTATCCTCTAACACGATAGTACCAAAACACAAAAAGCAGGAATTTGATTCACTCCCAAAATGAAAATATAGATCAGATAGTGGCAATACAACTCTTTAAATGTTTAGAAAAGAACAAAATCTTCAGACTGCAGTAAATATAGAACACTGTAATAGATCTTTGAGATGGTCCTCTGGTAACTGAAACATTGAAACAAAATCATGTAAGCCAGCAAATGTGCAGACTATTGCAGGGACACCCAGTCTAAAACTCTACGCCTGAAGAGAAAAAGTGAAAAAAATTACTGATTTGTTTTATAGACTGACAAAAAATCACTTGAGTAGATCCAAACACAAAAAGAAGCTTCACATACCCTCTTACCTAAAACGAGTGGGACAGGGATTTCTCAATTACTGTACCAAAATTAGCCCAAAATGGCCCCCTTCAAAAATCATCTTCAAAAATTGCTATATCCAAGGAAGACTCTCTAAGCCTGTCATCAGCCTCCACCTTAATATAAAACTCATGCAGAAAGCCTTGAAAGTCACAGTTATTTGTGCATCTTTATCACCATCCATTAATCAGCCTTTTTATTTTCTGTATTTCTGATGCATTGACATCTTGAGACTTTACTGATCCTGGAGAGACTGTCCCTCCCAGGGCTAGCCAATTCCTACAGATCATAAATGACTCACCTATGAGTGCACCTTTCATATGCAAACCAAAACTAATCTGAGTCCAAGCCTCAACTGCCTCCTGAATGAGCTCTTATACTATAGGCCACTGTCCCCTGCCCTTCTCATCCCAGGGCCAGGTACCAGACCACTGGAGACTGTCTCTATGCCCCAGAGGCTGCTAAAATGGTTCAGTCTAATCAGG